ACCTTGGCAGGACCCCAAGGTGCCATGTGGAAGCCCTTCTGCTCTCTTGACCCTCCAGAATGGTTCTGAAGATGCTAATCTCCATTTAAGGCCAGTTTGACCCGCCACAGTCCCTGGTGGTTACCTACCTGGGCCACTCTGGTCTGACACTCTGGTCTACCACTGTACCCTCCAGCTAGGAGGAACTAAGATACATTTCTATCAATATTCATGAGGGCACTTTGAAGTTCAGTGTCCTGTGGGGAGAGGAATCATTCCACCAGTTCAAACTTGGTGCAATTTGTGTGCCAGGCACATGCCAGGAATATAAAGGTGCAGAAGAAATAGGCTCTGGCCACTAGTATTGGGAGAATGATGATAGGCAATAATAAGATGGGTGGAAAACAGAAATGGACACTCAGAGGGCAAAACTAATGGGTATCTGCTACCTGCACTAGGAAATGGCATTCTGCAAACAATGGCCTGTCTTCTGGTGACCCTCCTCCCTTCCTCTACCCTCTTCTCCCTTCCCCTCTGTCCCTCTCCTCTCCTTTTATGCCTCCTTCCCTTCCTTTTCTCCCCTCCCCTTTCCTTCACTCTCCTCCCCCTTACTTCTCTTCCCCTCCCCTTCTGTCCTTTCCCCTCCCCCTCCCATCCTTTCTCTTCACTTCTCCTTCTTTCTCTTCTTTTCTCCTCCTCTCCCTTCCCCTGCTGTTTTCTCCTCCTCCATAAATCACTGCCCACAAAACTCTGATTCAGGGCAACCCTCCATCAGGTTTCTGAGGCTGTGAATCCTAAGGGGATGAGATTGCTCTTCTTTCTTCCATGGAGAAGTTCATGGGTTTTAACTGCATGAATCTTTCAGTTAACAGCCCAACACGTCAGCACTGCACCACCAGGACCCCTTCTTCCACTCCGTAATCACTAACCACTACATCCTCCTTTGCTTTGACTGTCTCCCTAGCCCTGCCTTGTCTCTCAATTCCACTCCAAACAGCTTCCTACACAAGCCACGCCTGCTCAATGCAATTATCCCACCAATTGTAGTGCTGGATTTTTTAAGGGTAAGAAAGGGTTGTTCTTGAACTTCCATGACTTGAAGCACAGAGACATGAGGAATTCATGCAACAATTCATGTCGTCCAGGGCCCAATGAAGGATGCAGGAGAGAGAATGGTTACTTTTTGGCTCCCCAGCTACTCTTCACTAATAAACTGTTTCATTATCCAACATGTCACATATAGGACAATAGTGAGCAAGCTGCTGGCTATTTCGTCTAGCAGTACTAAACACTGACATGGGCGGCCAGTGTAACACTGGCTGCGATGATTATGACTACATGTCAGTTTGACTAGACCATGACCCGCGCTGTTTTGGCTGTTACGTAATGATGTAGTCATATTCCATTTTGCCATCTGATATGATCATCCTCCATTTTTGTACAACACGGATTTTCTCCATAATGACCTGGACTTTGGAACCTGGCTAGGTTGATGAGCAAGAAATGATATATCTTTTGTATAACTCACAGTGAAAGGCTGATGGAGGGGTTTTGCTGGCTGATCCCTGCTGATTCTTGCTTTAGCTGAGTGTGGTACTGTCGTGGGAATTGTTAAGTCGGCATTAGAAACAAAGGAACAATGGACTGAGGCCCTGAGGCCTGAGCCAGACCCCATCACGCATCATTTCATTTCAGAGACTCAGCCTTGGGATCTATGAGTGGGGAATAGGAACATGAAATTGTTCAGCCTTTGCATGTAGCCACAGAGTTGAGAAGAGATAAAAGTGACTGAAGAGCAAAGAAAAGCAGGTCCTGCATGCATATGACAGAATCCAAAGCTCCCTCTCTCAGAAGAGACCAAATTTTGGCTCAGCTGTAGTTCCAAGTCCAAGGCCTCACGGAGCCCAGCTTGATTTCTCCTTCAGGAATCTCTCAGTAGCTGGTCTCTGGCACATTGGTTTTCTAGAAGCTCTGCCTCCTACTGAAGGTCCATTCACATACTTAAGGCCTTATCCCAACTCCAAAACGTGCCTGAACTTCTTTTCCTCTTCCTGAGGTGTTCCCACAGAGCTTGTTTCTCCTTACCTTTTTTGTAACAAGCAGAAAATGGACGCTGGGGCAGGAAAGATCTTTCTTAAACACTTAAATACATGTGCATACTATGCATCTGGCTTTCCAGGCAGCCTCTGGCCAGTCCTTGTCCCACACTGCCACTCCAGTGGCCTCTCCTTCCCCCTTGGCCCCACCTCCCCTCTCTTCCACATCACTGAACACCATCTTGTAAAGAAGCGCGTTGTTATTGTTTTTCAGTATCCTCTCCATTCCGGATCCACTCAGGCCTCTCTCTGCTGCCCCTTGACACTCCTGCCCACCAGGAGGACATCACCTTTTCACTTATATTGAGATCAGTACTGTTGGGTGTTGAACATGTCTGTTATTCATGTTGGAGACCACCACTGTATGTTTAAAAGACCACATGGCATGAAAGCACAATGTTTTGAGCGCAGCCAGCTCTGCCTCTGAAAACCTAGATGACCTTGGACAAGACCTCTGCCCTTCTGAGTGACTTAATTTTTTGGCTAGCGAAATAGAGAAGTTTCTGCTCATTAGTACAGAGGTCACTCACATCAGTCAGGAAATCATGGTCATTTAAGAATTTGTGTAGAATGGGTCTTCCAAAGCATTAAGTCCTTTCTCCCACTCACCCTATGAAATTGCAGGGTGTGGGAGAAATGGACAGGCAGGCAGGTGACTGCACTGCCACAGACAGAGCTTTGTCCAGACTCACAAGCTGGAACTGAGCCCTGAGTCCAGTATCCTCTGTATAATCTCCTAAAAGGCAAGCAGTAGACCATGTATCTTTGAGGTTTCCATTAGCCCAGGATTCTACTGCTGTCAAATCAATCCTGACTCTAAAGCCCCTCCACCAGGATTCTGAAAGTGTAAATAAATCTTAACAAGAGTAGACTGTCTCTCTTTCTTCCCAGGAGCAGCTGGTGGAGTTGAACTGCCAACCATTTGGTTAACAGCACAGCATGCTACACACTATACCAGCAGAGCTTCTTCCACATACATACACAGGACCTTTGATCAGCCTCAGTTTATTTCATGTGTAAAATAACAATAGTAACACTTCTGTAAAGTGCTGGTCTCCAATATTGGTGAGAAAGTGATCTGTATGCTATAAATCCTCAGATAAGCACCAAGGAGAGAGGGTGAGGCACACCGCCCCCCACCCATCTGTGACCATGGCAAGGTGCAATTGATCCTACTGTTTGTTCCCTCTGATCTGGGCCCAACCACAGAATGTTTCTAAGCAAGACTTTGAGACATTTTAAACTGGTTCAGTCATGGTCAATAAAGTTAAATCTGAAAAGATTAAAATTTTTTAAATTGAGGAGATTTGGTAATAATTGGAATGGGAAAAATTATAGTCAAAGCCCTGGAATGGTAGGGTAGTGAGCCCTTTGGGGAACCCGATAGAGGAGAATGGATTATTGCCAGGACAGTGGAGAACCACACCCCTTCAAAGGAGCTCAGTGGGTCACCATCTTTGAGCAGGGCACCGTTGTCTTCAACTCAGTCAGTCAAAATACGTGGTTGAGAGACAGAAAGTTTGTAGCAAGACTTTGACCTGTAATTTTTTCCTATACAGGTCAACATTCTGGTTCACTGACATCTTAAAAATTTGGATCTAATCCAGGGTCACTTCATTGACTATGGCTGAACCAGGCTAACCTGATTTGATGTCCTGTTTCTCAGATTATACTCCAGGCCAGCGGTTCTCAGTCTGACTGCTCATTAGCTCTGGCTCAAAAAAGAAGGAAAAGGTGGGACACAAGCAGATATCCTTCTGCCAAGTTCCCACTTCCCCACCTGGGAAGATCCAGTTCCAGAAAGAGGCCCCAGTCCCTGCCAGAAACAGGACCATTTCAAAAGCATTAACCAAATGAATACTTTCCTTAAATGCTACAGATTAAGTTGCATACATTGTTTTCTGTGCTACTTCCTTCTTGCCATCCCCCACCTCCCCATCTCTTAAACTTCCCTCCTTTCAGAAGACCCATGACATACCCTGACTTGCAGCACTGACACCACATTGCCACCCTCACTGCTTTGAATGTTCATAGAGTTTCTTCTTTTTCTGCTGCACAAAGAATATGAACCTAGAAATACAGGCCGCACAGGCACTGCTCAGTGGTATGTATATTGTGTATCTCTGTGTTGTGTGTGAGTGCTCATATGTGTGCACGTGTGTGCTATATGCAAGTGTCCATGTCTATGCACATGCTGTTAGTATGTTTATACAAATGTGGGTTCATGTGCATTCTGTGTTTCTTGTGTTTGCTTCTGGGAGCATTTGAATGGAAATGAACGCATGCGCTTTAAATACTCAGAGACCAAGCCATTAGATCGTGCTGTTTATTGAGGATGCAACAGGGTGGGTCACTAAGAACAAGAGGGAAGCGAAAGTTGTCTCCTCTCCGCTGCAGGAGAGTGGAGGAAGAGACCCCACATTGTCTTGGGTCTCACTTGGAATGAGCTGCAAACCTGAGCCAGGTTGGGACTGGGCTGCTCTTGGTGTCAGTCCTCCAGCCTTCTTTACTTGAGCACAGAACCAGGTCCTATTATAGGACAAAGCTGGACTATGGCCCCGATTGTGAGGGGACCTCAATCTGAAACTCAAGGAGCTGGCAGAGAGAGCACTTGGAAACTAAACCAGAGGGTGGGCAAAGGGGGAAGGGCTGGCCCAGGAGCCAAGACGGTAGAGTGGCTGGAGGAAGGCAGCCAGGGAAGGGAGCTCCAGGGGGTTGCAAGATGAGGTGTAGAGGCAGCATTCCACAGGATAAGCTGTCCAGTCTTGTCCAGGCTCAGGAGACAGAGGCTCGGAGTAGAGTGGCCGAGCCAGATGTACAAGCACAGGGAAGGCAGGGTGCAGACAGAGCTGATGGTGGACTGGGGAGAAGGCAGTGTGAGGTGCAGAGTGGGGTCATGGGGTGGTAGAAGAGCTCAGGGCCTCTCTACCGGCTGGCTTTCTTGGAGGGGACGCTGAGGCTGGAGCTCTTGCTCAGGGTTTCCTTGTAATCCCCAGCACTGGCCCGGCTTCTGCTCTCCCCACCGCGGACGCTGCACACTCCAGAGATGCAGCTGCCACTGTTGGCCACATAGCCACCACTGACTGAGGAGGGCCGGAAGCCACCGCTCGTGCTGCTGATAATAGCTGCGGGAGAGAATCCCAGTCAGTACCCATACAGCCAGACCTGGACTGGTCCAGGGAAGGTGTCCTGTCCCTAAGACACATGGGGCAGTTTCAGGGAGCTGGGTGGGTTGGGCTTTGATCATAGCCTCCCACTGGGAGATCATTTCCCCATAGGCTACCCTTGACTTGATCAATTTATACCAAATCTGGCTAATACTTGCTCTGTTTGTTCTCAGAAACCTATTTTTTTGCTCCAGCTAACAACATAGCTACTTTACTTCTGGACTATGATTATCTCTTTAACCTCTTAACTAAACTCAGAGATTGAATACTGCTGCCTTGATATCTAAAGTGTATCCCCCCCCTTTTTTTCCCTGATTTCTCCAGCCCCTCTGACTCTCTAGCCCAGATCTGATGACAGCTCCCAAATTCAACTCCTCCTCGTACCTCACAGAAATAATTTTCTTGCAGCACATCCCCTATGGTAATAGACTTCCCTAGCTGTCACTCCTGAGAACAGAGTGACAAGCAGGAAACAGCCCTGGGCTGGCAGTCTAGAGACCTGATATCCAGCTGTGCTCTGCCATGTGGTTGCTGTGTGATCTTAAGCAAGGCTTTTCCCTCTCTGATTCTTAGAGTCCTCATCTACACATACAGGTTGTGACTAAGGTCCTCGCTAGTCCCCAGCTTCTTCAATTCTAGGAGAAAAAACATAAGTACTTACAGATGCTGACCGGGGAAGGAAATTCTCCTGACATTCTGTAACAGAAAGAAAAGAGAGCAGTCATCAGCCTTCTCTGCCTGGAGAAAAGCCTCAGAACAATTGAGCCACAGACCTGATATGGAGGTCTCAATTCCAGAGATCTCTAAGACCTTGAGACACTTCAGGGACAACCCTGAATCTTTGGACCAATCAGGCAACAACTCAGTCCCCAGATTAATTTGCATGAAATAGAATGTGTACACTCCCCATGTGTTAGGTCCACCCCCCACCCCAGGACTTTCCACTTCCCCAGGGCATTGAAAAGCGTGGAATGACTGCCCCCAGACAATCTTGACAAGCTCATGTTGAACCTGGATAAGTAGGGAAGGTAGAAGAGGGTCTTATATGACAATGAGTTGTTGCTGGTTTTGGTTGAGGGGGTGGGAACAGGAAAAGGTTCAATAGAGTGTTCTCATATGCACCCAAGGAAGTCGTAAAGATTACGTGAACAAATCTAGGTAAAATAGCACAGCATCAGATATGAAATAAGCATTTAAGCCTTCATTTTAAAAAGCCAGGTACCATAGAGTTATGAACTTATGGTTACCATGGAGTAACCAACTTTTATTTACCCCATATGCATCAGCATAGAATCATGATACATAGGATTTTAATGGCTGATTTCAAAGAAACTGATCACCAGGTCTTTCCTTAATATACCTCTGGGTGGACTTGAACCATCAACCTTTGGATTCATACCCCCAAAATCTCTTCAATGGGCTCTTCAGTAGGTATTATTCATTACTAGGATTAATTCCTATCACCAACCACCCTCCTCACATCCCAAGAGCTCATCTTTCCTGGATCAGAATACTGGGGAGAGCCCTTGGAGTCTCCCTCCCGCAGGACGGTGCCCCATCCTCACCTGCACTCCTCACTCTCCAGCAGTTTGCGGTAGGTGGCGATCTCCATGTCCAGGGCCAGCTTCAGGCTTGTGAGCTCCTGGTAGTCACGCAGCAGCCGGGCCAGCTCCTCCTTGCCCTGGTGCAGGGCGGACTCCAGCTCATCCAGCTTGGCCCGGGCGTCCTTCAGGGCACTGTCACCCCGCTGTTCTGCATCGGCAATGGCCGTCTCCAGGTTGGAAGCCTAAAGAAGAGACACAGGGAAGTGAGGAAACCCAAAGGGACCATTGGAGTCACCTACTTAAAAATCTCTCTTGTTCTTTAAGATTCTGTGGCAAAGATACCCACTAGAATCCTTCATAACATCCTGCTCTGTTCTACCACTGGAATTCCTTTGGGACTGGACAGGTCCTCTCTCTCTCTCCTCCTCCTGTTGTGTTTAGAAGATGGGAAATTGTGACTCTTTCTCCCATGAGATGCTGGCCTATTCAGCACTTCAGCTGAGTACAAAGACATCTTCCACTCACAAACACTAATATAAAATAAGGATAGTCTTTGCTTTCTTGTTCTCAAGTTAAAAATTAGGGGGAAAGTCATAACATGGTGTGTTAGGTGCAACAATGCCAACTGCTCAGATGCAGGGACCAGACAAGGGCACAGAGAAGGTCATGTCCCATGGCAGTCACCACTTTTCATGCTTTAGCTCATTTAGTTTTTACAGCACCCTGTGAAGTAACACCCAGGCATTTACTCAAGGTCACAAAGGGACTAGTGCTTGACCTCAGCAGGTAATGGAAACCACCCTGGAAAATGAGATAGGAGACCTTGGTTCAGATCACAGTGCACCACTTACCAATGATGTCACCCACTGAACCTCTTTGAGCCTCAGCTTTCTCATCTATAACAATGACCCTCACGTGGTCATTGTGCAGATTAAGCAGATGAAATAATAGTTTGCTGCCATTACTGTTCTATAAACATATCTTATCTCCACACCTCCCTAAAGCTGAAACTGCAGCCTAGACTCTTAGCAGGGATGCCAGTGTTTGTACACATCTGCTGAAACAATTTTATGGGTGTTTTCTGAGCTTGTTTCTCCTTGTCAACAATAAATACAACAGTTATTTATTAAGCTAATATCGTGTGGTAGGCCCTGTGCTAAATGCTAGAAAAACAAAGGTTAACAAAGCAGTAAGTTCTCTGCCTCCAAAGACTTTTTAATCTAGTTGGAAATGGAAAGCTATGTGAGACAGTCTTAAAAAGTGAGTATAGGCAAGAGGAGGTGCCAGGAGAGCTAAGAGAAGAGGGGAGGACCAAGGGGTTCTGGCCCATGATAGGGGTGGGAGAAGATTCCCTAAAGGGAGTTAGAGCAGCTGTCTGTGGAGTCAGTAGATGAAATGGCTTCAGGATATCCCATTCAATCTGTTAGAGGTAGTGACCTCCCTGGACTTATCTCATGGGTGAGATGGCTGATACCCTCGGCCAGCTCCTCTATCTTTGCACTTGAGCTTGTCTGCCCCGGCCTTGGACAACCCTTACCTGCTTCTTCACGTTCTCAATCTCTGAGCGGATCCTCTGGATGAGCCGAGTGAGTTCTGTGATTTCATTCTTGGTGTTTTTGAGGTCATCTCCATGCTGGCCTGCTGCCAGCTGCAGTTCCTGGAACTAAGAGCACAAAGCCCCGGGTTGGGGATGGATTCTGAAGTAGAGCATATTGTATACATGAAGGAGTATGGCTTCTGCTCTGAGGATGAGCCGACTTAGCCCTGGGACCTGAAGTTCACCATCTCCAGCCCAGCCTCAGCCCAGCTTACCTTGGTCTGATACAGGGCTTCAGCCTCAGCTTTGCTTTTCAGGGCAATGTCTTCATATTGATTACGGATCTCATCGATGATGCTGTCCAGGTTCAGGTTGCGGTTGTTGTCCATGGACAGGATGACAGACATGTCACTGATGTGTGACTGGATCTGAGTGATCTCCTGCAAGAGGAAACACAGATGAGCTTGGGACATGGTCACTGTATAAGGCTGACATTGGGCAGCTTCCCCCTAAGCAAGGGGAGCAAATGCCAGTGATGCCACATTAAAGGCTCAAAACCCAAGCTATTACCACTCTGAGCAAAGACAAGTCACTGTTAGGCCCCAGACAGATTCCTGGCACCATCACAAGAAGGGGCCAGGGTCCATTTCCTTCTACCCACAGGGTAAAGTTTGGAAGCCTCTTAAGGCTGAAATGGTAGTTGAATGACTAACTTGAGGGAAGAGTTGATCTTTCTTAGTCCCTTAGAATAGGGTTGAACCCTGTGTCTTGTCCCCAGATGGATGGAGTTGAGAGACATACTTACTGCATCAAAGAGACACTTGAGGAATTTGATGTCCTGGTCCATGGAGTCCACCTTGGCCTGCAGCTCTACTTTATTGGCATATGCCGCATCCACATCCTGAAATATAACCAAGCCATCCAATGAGTGGTTATGCTGTTGCCACTCAGAAAGATGGACCCCATCCACCTCAATGTGAATAATGTAGCAATCCCTATTCTGTACTCTTTGCATGGTGCATCAGAAAGAGATGAGAAGTCCAAGGCACACTCATCCCATCCCAGAGGACTTCTCCCTCTGTCAGAGTAGTGGGTCTTTTTGAAAAGACCAGTTACTAGTCATCCTGCTATTGCCTGGACCCGATCCTTCCAGCTGCACTGGGAACCCCTTTATAGCATCCTTGCAGGAGAAAGAGTCACTCCATGATTATGCACTCTGGATAGCCCATGACCACATAAAAGCTTTCAGTAAGTCCTCTTACTATCATGTTCTCTGCCTTTTCCTTTTCCTGAATAGTCCTCATTGTGGATTTTCTTGCCTTTCATCTCGCTCTTTCTGAACCAGTTGCCTGGTTGTTGTTTTTTTCTGGCTGGCAGTGGAGCACGGTGGTAGGCTCAACATATCTGGTCCCAGACCAACCGCTAGGAATCAGGGCCTGCCATCCTCCTTACCTTCTTCAGCAGCACAAACTCATTCTCCGCAGCAGTCCGCCTGTTGATTTCTTCCTCATACCTGAGGGAATGTTGAATGAGACATCTTACTGAAAGCCCTTGTTTGTTCAGGGAAGACTTTGAGTAAGGAGTGGTGTATTGGTTAAGAAACCAGAGATACTAAAGGTTCCCAGCCAGGCAAGGAGAGTTTCCAAGAGGAGAGGACATGGCAACCAAGTGTGTAAAAAGGAACCTTATTTAAAGTCCCAGCTTGCAAAATGAGGAGCATGTGGAGTGACTGTCCTGAGAGAAATCTTAGAGGAAACAAGTAATACTTCCCCAAAATTTAAATAAAGCAAAATTTTCCCACTTGTGTTTCCTCATTTGCTCCTAACCATACTTCTGGGAGGTAGATACACTTAGCACCATTTTACCAAGAGAATATGGACATGCTGGGAGAACATGCAAGGTTCTTCCAAGTTCCCTCATCCCACAGGCAGAAGTAATTCTCTGGTCACCATCCAGTGAACTGGAAGTTTGTCCAGGTTTGTCTTGCACCAGAGGTTACAAGAACAGAGAGCAAGTTCCAGAAGTTTGTTAAGGCACTGTGCTCAGTGTGACCTGGGATACTGTTCTTCCCCCAGAAAAGTTTAAGTACACATACTGGGGCATCTGCCCAGGTCCTAAGGAATCAACTCATGTGGTATGAGCTCAGATAGACATGTAAAATTGTCCTATTACACAGGGTCCCCTCCCTCACTCACTTCTTCTTGTAGTCTTCTACCACATCCCTCACGTTCCTCAGCTCTGAGTCCAGCCTCACTCTGTCTCCAGACAGCGTTTCCAGCTTCTTTTGCAGGTTGCCAATGTAGCCCTCAAGGATGGGCTCCAGGTTGTTCTTGCAGTTGTTCAGGTCCAGCTGCTGAAGGAGCTCCCACTTGGTCTCCAGAACCTGGTTCTGCTGTTCCAGGAACCGCACCTAAAGCACAAAGACCAGACACCGTTGAGCCACCATGGACACAGTCATAGTGTTCATAGTATTTCTAAAGGCCTGTTATTTAAGAAGTAGATGCCAATCCTGCCAAGTCTGTCTTAACCTGGGCACTCTACCAAATCCTGTCCACCATGGATAACTTTTATGGCATTTGATACACCAGTGGCACAGCATTCAGTATCACAGCAACCCCAGGTTATCTCAGTACAGCAAACTGACAGACAAGTTCTGTACCACTTAGAACAATGTTACCCACAAACACAACACCAGGCCCAAGGAATATCTAAAAATACCAGAATAGAAATCAAACTAGCTCTCTATTGTTCAACCTTTTAACAGGAAAGGTTGACCATTCCACTGAAGGAAACCTGTTCTTAAAAACATGCCAGAGCTCATATGAGGACCTCTGGGTATTTAAATTCCTGCCTCATGTCCCAACTCTACTCCAGCTTCCTTCCTCTACCATGAGTCCTAATCAGTCATCTTCCCTGTAGCAAGCATGGCGTGTGGCACAAGGGGTCATACTGGAGCTCCCTTTCCTTTGCTGTCCTTCATTGGACTTGAAAACTGAGAAGAGGAGAGTTTGTCTGCAGACTTCAGAATCTCACTTCTCATAATCTGCATAAGCAAGGCTCCCATGTGATTACAGCTCTGCTCCACAAAGTCGGAAACATAGATGAAGAGAGAAGAATTTGAAATTCACTATAAAATGAGATTATTCCTTGAAAAACTGTCTCCAGCAGATCATTCAGGACTTTATTCAACAAGACTTACCTATTTCATATTTATATGTATACAGAAGGCAAAATACTAGCCATAGAGTAAAATTCTATAATATAAAGCACCCAGTACATATTGGACTTCTGGACACATCTAGATTATGATAAGATTTACATATTTTCTCTGGCTACCAGAGGTCAAGAGGTCAAGAGATTGTACTCAGGAGACTAAAGTTATTTGAGGACTATTCAACTTTTGAACCTCTTTCCCTCTATCCTTGAGCAGCCACAGTTGTTGACAAGAGGTGACTGTCTTCATGTTGATCTTGGTTTCCATGTCTCTAGACTTCACCCCTTCATATTTAATAGAGTTTGAGAAGCCCAGGGAAGGATCAGTCCATACTTGTGCTCTAGGATCCTATCCTTAGACTATGCTGATCATCCATACATAAAATGGTCTAGATGAGCACAAAGCCACAGAGGCACCCAGAGCCGCTGAGACGGAGCAAAGGACAACAGAGAAGCCTCCACAGAAAAATCTAGAATTGCAAGGGGAGTCTAAGCAGTAATAACCATGTCACTTTTTCAACCATAGGTTTTCATCTTCCATTGCTTCATCCTCAGTGTCTATTTGTTTTGTTTTGTTTTGTTTTGTTTTTTCTATAATTATATTTTATTAATTTTCATAAACATTTACAGAGATTTTGGGTTTCCATTCATTCATTGTTGCACTATTCTCTCTACCCTCCTCCCAGTTTGTTCTTGTCCAAATGGCACAGTGCTTGTCAAAGCCAGTTCTGATTAATCTCCTTTGTCAGTGTGTCCTTTGCCATTCCCTATCACTCCTCCCTGAGAGAGACTTCACCCTGAGTCATAAGGAAAAGGGGATGGCGTATTCTCTTAGCTACTTCCTGCTGAAAAGGGACGCTGTGGGTTTCAGGGTGAAGCTCTTCTCTCACTACTCTAAAGGGCCCCTTTGGCAGTAGGAAACACATAGATTTTATGGAGATTGATTTTGGAATTTAGATGCACTCTTATTGATTGTGCTTGGCCGTCTCAGTGTCTATTTGTGACATAACTTTCTTGGCTCTTGGACTGGTCCTTAGAGGCAGGATACAGGAAATCTTTCCCTTCTTCTCAAATGACCTTAGACATGGCATTTAACTCCATGCCTTTGCTGATTCATCTATATAATGGATGTAATAATTTCTTAAAAGCCCAGAGCTTATCTGGATTGGATGATCCCTTGGCTATCTTCCAGTCTTTTTGTTCTTCTCCTTCTCAGTACCTCTCCCCAGACCTCATGAGATAAAAAAATTATTGCAACAACAACCACAATTTTGCACTTATGCCAAGACCTTCACAAGCCTTTTATTTTTAAAACCTTGAAGTGGATTATTATCTTCATTTTAAAGATAAGGAAATAAAGGCACCAGCAGGGTAAGAGAATTTCCTAATGGCAGCCAGCTGACAAGTGATAGGGGCAGGACTGAAGCCAGGCCTCACGTAAGAGCAGTCAGGACTCCTTAACACTACAGGAAACAAACCCCACAGCTGAGACAGCTGTGAACCTGAAGGGCTTGGAATGACCACACACTGATGCTCTCCATTCAACTGTTAACAGACTGGCTGATGAGATCAGCTTGTGTCGGGAGGAGAACAAGCCTTCTTGGTTACTTAGGGTGGATTCCATCTTGTTGGTCCTCTCTGGATACACCTCTGTGACCCTCAGGCTTAGCAAGAGAACCAGTTGGAATCTTGTGAATAAAGAGTAGATCTCTTCCCTTTTATCTCCTACTGGTACCCGGATCAGTTTCTTCTAGTTGTGAACAGAGAAACTTATACAAATTGTTCTGGCTTGGGAAAGCATTTACCGAGTCTGTAGACAGTGCCTTCTCATATCTAGCTTCCATCTCTCCTACTCTAACAAGACCACATGAGTTGGGAAGAGAAAGGAAGATAAGGGAACAGAAGAGAAGGGCTGTTCAGAGGTTCCACCAGGTCCTAGCAGTCTTACCTTGTCAATGAAAGAGGCAAACTTGTTGTTCAGTGCCTTGATCTGTTCCCGCTCCTGAGAGCGCACTTTCTGGATCTCGGGGTCCAGCTCCACGTTGAGGGGTTCCAGAAGGCTTTCGTTGACAGTCACCTGATGGATGCCTCCAGGCGGGCACACGGTGGTGCACATGGGCCCCAGGGCCACACTGCCAAACATGCTGCCAGCAAAGCCACTGGCCCGATTCCGGCCAAACCCATAGGCTCCAGTCTTGCCGTTGCCACTGGCCAGGTTGAAGGAGATGCTCCGGGTACCCCCCATATTGTAGAGGCTCCGACTACCAAATGCTCCGCTGAGCCCTTTGCCCCCTGCCCGGTAGGAGGCTGAGCTGCCCCCAGAGAGCACTGCTGAGCAGCCACTGAAGCTTCCCTTGTTGGCAGCTCCAGGCTTGGATGTGAACTGACGGCTCATGTTGCTGGTGGAGATGGAGCTCAGAGAGGAGAGGAGGTGAGAATCCCACAAGGTTCTGCTGGTTGTGGTGAGAACTGGCAGGTCCCTTTATATATGCTTGACACTGGGGCTCCTGGATGGGCAGTCAACTGCTTAATTCGTGGGTTTGGCTTGCCTGGGAGCAAGAAGTCATTTTCTCAATGCTGAGCTAGAGATCAAGCCCTCCCCACCTTTGAAACAACATGAAACCTTCAAATTGCTGGGCTTGCAAGCCTTGCTCATGTAATTTGGGTCTTAACTAATTAACCTGCTGTTTTAGGGTAATTTGCCCCAGGTCCCAGCCACTCCAGGGGGATATCACTGACACCTCACTATCCTCATGCTGATTAATCTCTTCAGAATTCTTGATTTTTCTCTTGGGGGCTCAGGGGACAGGGACATGATAGAGATAGACAGATATTCTGGATAGGGAAGACCTCTATGCAGAGTACCAGGAGCTCCAGTCATAGCTATGTCTTTCCTGGAAATGGACAGATCTTTCAAACATTCACCTGTCGCTCAGAACTCCTGGGACACAACCAGATTGCCCCTTCTACTAACCCAAGGAGCATGGTGGTAGCTCTATTGTCATCATATTAGGGATGGAGTGGCCCACTTCCTGGCATGAGCCATCAACAGAGTCGATCATATATGAGAAGCATGTGCTCGAAAAGATCTCCTTGGAAACTCCTTGGAAAGATCTCCTCCATATTTCATCTCCCTCAATCTCCATCAGTTCACAGTCATCTCACTCTCTAAGGCTGGAGAAAAAGAAAAGGAGAAGGACACTGGGGAAAGTGGCTGCCAAATTCTGGGCTTCAACAGGAAGGAGAAGAGAGACTTGGCCATGTTCTACAGGCTTTCAGGAAAATACCCTGTGGTGTGTTCCACTCCACTACTTGTGTCTCTTTCCCTTGCTATCTGCTGATACAATTGGCATTAACTTGAAGAGAAGAATCATACACCCAGAATGTTCCTTACACGTTAGGACGGTGAGATATTGTCTTGCTTACTTTGGGCCAGTCAGGAAAGGCATAGAGAAAGACATCTTGTTTGGTGAAGGAGAGGATCAATGGATCCTCAAAGAGACAAACAACACAACAAGCTCAGATAAATCTTGAAGATGGCTCAGCAACAAGTAACATTTTGTGCAGTTACACATGAGGTTGTCGCAAGTCAGAGCTCATTCAATGGCAACCGACAACAATTGATAAGTATAATTAATGTCACAGAACTATCCATGGAACACTGTCAAATGTTTTACTCCATGTGTATTTAGGGTCACTATGAGTCGCAAGGATTCCGGGGCTTCGTCTGACATACTTTGGACATGTTGTAAGGAGAGACAGGTCTTTAGAGAGGGACATCATGCTGGGTAGAGTAGAGGGACAACACACGAGAGGAAGACCCTCTATGAGGTGGATTGATTCAGTGACTGGGGTAATCAGGATGGGTGTGTCAGAGGCAATGAGATTGGCACAGGATAGAGCACGGTTTAGGGCTATTGTGCATAGGGTCGCTATGAGTCGCAAATGACTCGACGGCACATAACAACAACAACAACATGAGTCGCAAGCAACTCGATGGCACATAACAACAACAACATTTACCACAATACAAGATGAAGCTGCTATCAGCATGACACTTCACTGTTCTTCTAACCCCAGACCCACAAGGGTCAAGAAGGCAAGCTGGTTAGATCTTTCCAGGGGTCTAAGCCTTCAAACAGCTTTGGCTGGAAATTAATCCCAGAGAGGTGACCCAGCGAACACTGTTACCCGACTCCACACACCCCTGTGATCCAGGCCTGGGATCCCCTTGCTATCTCCTCTATCCTTGTCACTGGCTGCTGTGATGGTCCCATGACTCAAGGCTTCCAGTCTCCTACGGTGTGTCTCCTGTAACTGTCATTGCTCTTCCACCCTTAGCTCTTTGCCTGGAGAATGCCCTTGCGCAAAAGTCCCTGATGGGGCCCATGGGTGTGTGGTGGCACTTGGCTGGTGATGTTCACAGGAGGAAAGAAGGAAACCTGGAGCTGGGCTGGGCAAGCTGCTCTTTCACTTGCTTTATGCGGTTGACTTGGGATCAAGTCCCTTTCGTATTGTCTCTTTGCATTCATTATTCTTATCGAGTTCACCAGAATTTTCTTCTCTTCCTCATCTTCTCCTCCTTTATTTTCTCTCCATCTTCCATTGGTTCTACCAGTGTTCCCTTCCCCACCATTGCTTTCCCATACTGTCTCCTCCAAGAAGTCTTGAATCAACCTGGGCTAGATCTGAGCCTTTCTCAACTTCTGTAGCACTTGACATCAGTATGAGATGGAAAGGACTGTGTGGCCAGCTCTCATGAAATTCCTCTGAATTCATTTCATATATCATAGCTTTTCTTTGTAAGGAGCGTGGAAACTTCTCCATGACAGAGGGCACCTAATCTAGTCCTTCCTTCTTTCCTTCTTCTTTCCCACCTTCCTTTCTTCTATAAACCTCTCACAAGCACCTACTATGTGTCAAGTGTTGTGATCAGTGCAGGGAACAGGATGAGTTAGCAATACAATGCTAAAAGCTTTTCATAACTCCCAGAATGCAGTCTTTTCATGAGGTTTCCCCATTGACTGCTCTGCTGGCTATATGTTTCTCTAATGTGCATGGCAACTCCGCAGCCGCAGTGAGCACAGCTGTCGTCTTCAGCCCTGATGTTACTTTGCTTCTTGACTTATTGTTCCCATTTTCATAAAACCTTGGATTTAGTGCATAGAGAAAGCTGTGCTACTAATGCAAAGGCGGTGCTGTCAGCTTGAATCCACCAACTGTTCTGTGGGAGAAAGAGGGACAATCTCTTCCCTTGTGATTTACAGCTTCAGAAAACTCACTGGAGGATCAGCAATGAGCTAGTTTTGCCTCAGCAATAATGAGAGTAAGAGAGACCTCTTCTCTACACCTGGGCTCATATGTCCATTGACCTTGTATAGAAAATTTAGGTGCTGGGCACTTGGCCACTAGTTAATTCCTCCCTGTGTACTTTCTCTTGGGATCTAGGACCAACTTTCCAGTGTGGGGCCACAGATGAATTGTCCTTTGTTGAAGCAAGAGTCAGGCAGCAGAGGTGGCTTATCTTTGAGAAACTTCTGGACCTACTTCCATCATAAAATCATACCAGACAGGAGCCAGGGACTCCTTTATACGTCTGAATTCTGCTGCTCCACGTAGCAGGACAGCTTTACTTCTCTATGCCTCAGCTTTCCCAATGAGAAACAGGATCATAAATTCCTTAGAGGATGTCTGTGGCGATCACCTGTGTTAATCTGTGTGAAGTGCTTAGTTAGAGCTTCACACATATTTCATGTTCAACAAATATTATCAAATATTAACACCAAAGAGTAAAGTGGAATTAGGGAGGCTTCTTTCTCCTCTTCTGGGTCACCTTAGTCAGCACATTCTCTGCAGGGTGAGGTGATGATGGTAGATGGGGAGGGGTCAGGTCTGAAGTCCCAGGGTCAAAGAAACTGTCCATTAGGAATCATCATAATAATAGATTAATTAATGAATTAGTTCATATTAAACCAAGAAGGACCTACTGAGAATAAGGGCCTGTAGGAGACTCTTTGAGGATGTTTCCTACATAAGCCCACTGGTGTTGACCCACTTATCAAAAATGTATTGAACACCTACCAAGCAGTCATAAGGGCCGGGTAAAGGTGTCTGCCTTCTAAATGCAGGTGTCTCTGGGAGAAGTACCTCATCAAGCCATTATCACCTCAGTATGAATTCCTTAATTAGATACTGGCCATTGTGAATGAGACACCCTGTGTTGTTGATGAGGACTGTGATAGATGAGGAAGAAGGAGAGTTCTAGGCCACCCACAAGAAGGGTGGACCCAGGTGGACCGCCAAGGCTCCTGTGTTTTGTTGAAGGGAGGACAGGGGTTGACTGGAGTTGAAGAAAACCAGGACAGAGTTATGGTTCACTGAGGTCACAAAGACCTGACTCTGCCTTAACTGAAATCTGGGGAGCTGGGGGAGATGTGTCCCAACCACTGGGAGGCCTCACTCAGGAGCTGTGGGAATACACAGAACATGAGCATCCACATCTCAGCTTCATCTTCCCCCCCATGTATGGGATCACCCAGCTTTCTATGAAGAAATTCCGTTTTTGGTAGCATCTGTCAAGGCACTGACTTCTCTGTGCTGTAGCTGAGTCATCTGTAAGTTGGGAAGGGGAGTGAAGATAAGGTGTCAGATTAGAGAGTCAAGTCACAAAGACACCAGGAAGATCTATGTCAGACAGTTAGGAAAAGAAAGAAGAAAAAGCTCATTAAAGAAATGACATTTGTTTGGCTCTTGGATTTCTAGTCACAATGGTTTTTGTACCTTTATTTTACCTCTTTCTCTTTCAAAACTCTAATATCCTCCAGCAGGATTTTGGAGGCTGTAACTCACACAGGAATAGATTGCCCCCTTTTCTCCCATGGAGCCGCTGTTGACTTTGAATGGTCAGAGGGACATCACCCTTGGCACAACTACCTATGGACTAGGCCATCAGAGCTCCCTGTTTGTGTGCGCGCATGTGTGTGCATGTGTGTATGCATACTGCGATTAGTTGCTGTGGCGTCATGTATAATTCCCTATGTAACAATTCCATAACAGAACAAATCGTCTATCTCTTCTCTGTGTCGTGACTATGATTGTTGGTACAGAAAACATTGTGAACCTAGATTGTCTTCTAATCAAGGGGTTCATCTCCCAACACTCTAAAGAGTCACTCTTGTGATCTTTAGAGTTTATCCTGGCTGATTTTTGGAAGTAGATCAACAAGTCTTTCTTTCTAGTCTAGAAAGTCTGCTGCAACCTGTCCACCATGAGTGAAACATCAGCGGTGTAGCTTCCAGCATCATAGAAACACACCAGTCACCACAGCCTAACTCACAGTAGTTCTGCCTGTAGTTTCTGCTTCTACATCTGTGACAATGAGCAGTTTGACATGTTTGTTTTTGACCCCAGGGCTTTAGTTAGCATGTTTGCTCTTCCTCATAGTGTTCTAGGCTC